AGCCGACTCCGAAACAAAATATAACAGTCTTATTCTCACTTTCAAATCAGCAAGAAAACCTCCCGCGTGTCTGCCGGTTCGCGTCCCCAAACCCAGTGCATTCCAGGGATTCAATTCACACTCTTTAATCAATATCAAACTTTACTTTGAACTAGCTGCACTTCATTAACGTTGAAGGCAGCGAGCCACCGATCGGCTCGTACGTCAAAGAAAAGAAAATACGTAGAACTAGATCGGCACGCTACACTATGTTTGAATGTGTTTTATGTCGCGTTGGAAAAACAAAGACTTTTGTTTTCCGCGCGCAAACCTTCCTTCTATTTTTCCCTGTCACTAACCATCTTATCTTCCTCTTCGGTTTCTCAACTGAATCTCAGGCACAGAAAGGTTCAATTCTTCAGTTCCGAAAAGTTAATCTCCCGAGAAAACGAAAGAAAAGAAGATCTGACTTCTGTCGGCAACAACATTTTTTCCAGCAAATTGATTTCACGAATTTCATTCGGGCATCACGTTGGACATGATACATTTAATTCTTGTAGTCCAGTGTAGATGCCCTTCTTAAAAGATACCTCTGGGAAGCTTAAAATTTAAAATATCGATCGCTCCATGAATTTCTTATCATCCACCGTCAGATTGGATTTTCCACTTTGTTTCTCTCTTAGAAAATGGTTTAAGGTCCAGTCCTAGATGTCGCGTTCGATATTTGCAACGTGAATACTTTTTAAAATAAGATACAAGAAAAAGAAAAGTTAATAATCTCAAAAATTATAGAAATTGTTATAAACAATTGTTGTTAATTATTATACTTTTAAATTACATTACAAGTCGTAAGGTTCCTCAAATTGTTATAGTCCCACGATGATTTCTGTTTCTGATTTCGAGTCGTTCTTTTTCCAATCATCTCGCACTTTTGCAGCGATGTCTTGAACACAGAAATGTGAAATCTTGTCACGTGCTATCCACCTACTTCTTCGTGTGACATTTTGTACTGCATCTTCACATGTGTGTTTTTTAATTTTCCGAGTGTTTAGTTTATGCTAGAGCATAGAACATATTACAATATAATGCATACTCAAACACAAGTGTGTGTTCTTAACTTGTTGCATGTTCTTTATTCGGTATTAAACTTTTGGATTTTTGGTAATTTTAGGCGTTCAAAGGGTTAAGTTCCATTTGTAATTAAATCGTGAATCGTTAAAAATTTTCTAATCGATTCAGTTCAAAAATTTTCATGTTCTCTAGTTCAACAAATGTATTTAAACGCTTTAAAGTTTGAACAAATGAAGGTACTTGCAGATCTATGAAATTTCAGTGAGAAATCACAGGTTGCCATTCTGATAGTTT